TACATGTGCCTGCTGCAGGGGAATGCTTTAAGCTCCCTGGACATTTAGTAATAGATTTGAAAGTAGCCATTCTTCTACAAAAGAATTTCAAAACCTTGGGAGTCAGCTGAACTGGAATTTATTTGCAAATTCAATACCATCAATTTAGGATTGAATAAGGATCTTAAAGCCACCTGCCCCTTCCCCCCCATGCTGCTGCCTCTGATACAGAGGCAGAACGTTGGGGAGGAAGGAGCTGGTACACATGGGGAGCTGATTCAGGCTCCTCAGTTAACTGTGTACTCAGCTACACGTTCACATCCCTAATGTAGATGTGCAAGATTTCCAGTGGTTACATGTTTACACAAATAAATGCACTTTAACATCCCTACTGAATACCATGAAATCTTACTTAAATTTCTGGTGGAAAGATTGAAGTCTTATCCATGTCCAAAGGCTTATCACAAATTATAGGGAGGTCCTTCAATCTTTACCACTCAGATATTTACAAAAATATAGTCTCTTCCCCCTTCTCACTCAACCACTAACTTCCATAATGCTGCTTCAAGTCAATTTATTTTTGAGACAGATGCAAGGATAACTACTAAGGGAATCAAGAATTTAGCAAAATATTGTCAAGAGTCACCAAAAGCCTAACTTATAAACCTTAATTACGTACCGTAAAAAAGAAAACAGCACCAAAGCATTCTTTGATGTTCTAAGAAAGCTTCATCAAACCAGAATTAAGATGGAGCATACATAATGGAAACACAGTTAAAGCATTCAAACACCTCAGTTCTACTGGGAACCTGAATAGCATATTAGTAACTATGAATCTTACAAAACAATCTACAGATCACAATCCATAGGCTGAAATCAGAATTCTTACTACTTTACTGCTGAAGTGTGCATGTTTCCACTTCAAAAGTAGAGATAATTCCACTCACTACCTATCTAGTGCAAAATTAACCCAAGCACAGCACAGGTAGACCTTATTGTCGTTGAGTGCTCCTTTAGCACCTCCATCATCCAATGGCCTCACTGGTTGTTTAGCAGGCTTCCTACTTCTGACCTATTTTTAAAAAGTTTTGCTATTACTTTGAGTTTTTGGCTAGATGTTCTTCAAATCCCTTTTTGGCCTTTTTAATTATATTTTTACACTTCATTTGACAGAGTTCATACTCCTTTCTATTTTCCTCACTAGGATTTAACTTCCACTATTTAAAAGTTCCTTTCATCTCTCACTGCTTCTTTTACTTGGTTTTTATGCCACAGCGGCACTATTTTGGTTCTCTTACTGTGTTTTTTAAATCAGGGTACACATTTAAGTTGAGCTTCTATTATGGTGTCATTGAAAAGTTTCCATGTAGCTTGCAGGGATTTTACTTTTGGCACTATACCTTTTAATTTCTATTTAATCTCCTCTTTTTTGTGTAGCTCCCCATTCTGAAATTAAATATCACAGTATTAGGCTGCTATGGTGTTCTCACCATAGGTATGTTGATTTTTACTACATTATGGTCACTATTTCCAAGTAGGGATGTTAAATATTGGTTAATTAATAGTCGATTAACCTCATTAATTCTTATCAGTTACTCAACTATTCTATAGTCCCTGGAGGTAAAGGGACCAGCAGTCAGTGTGCTCCAGCCCCACTCCCAAAGAACTCCCTGCCACTCCGCACTGCTGTTTCTGTATCAGAGGCAGTATTGTGGTGTGCCAGGCAGGAGCTTGTCCGTGAGGAGAGAATTTAAAAAACCAGCTCCTCCCGCAGACCTGTCGCTCTGTGCTGCTGCCTCCGATACAGAGGCAGCAGTGCGGGGTGGCAGCAGCCCATGTCCAGTGGGCTATTTGGCTAGTTGAGCGTGTCTTGTTTCCTATAGCAGTTGCCGCTACAATGGCAATTGCTTTAGAACTGGTTGGACACCGCAGCTATATAGCCTCTCATCTTTTTAGCATTTCATAGTCACTATTAGGGATATTAAATTTAGATTAATCAGCTAATCGAGTAGTCGATGGAATTAACATTGACGTCTCAATTAGTTGATAAGGGGGGCACTTGGTAGTCCACTGCACCTCTCACTTTGAAACATACAGGAGCTGCCGTGGTTCCTGTACATTTCAAAGGGAGAGAGGCAGCAGGAACCCATGTCAGTGGGGATCAAAGCAGTCCTTGCTGGCACAGATTCCCCTCTGTGCCCCCTTCCTTTGAAATGTAGAAGCTGCAGGCGGCTCATATATTCCAAAGGGAGAGGAGCAGCAGTGGGACCAGCGCAAGTGAGACTGTTTCAATCCCTGCTCACACCATTTCTCCTGCTCCCTGCAGAGATGGTGCAGGAATGGAGGGGGGGGGGGAGAGGCCAGCTTTTAAGCTGGCTTCCCCAAGCACTGGCTCATGCTCCCCACCTTACTGCCTCTCTCTGGCACCAGGGGAGGAAAGGGGGAGAAGAGACTATTTGAGTTCCTACTCAACTACCCAATAAGCCTTCGCTTATCAGGTAGTTGCTTACATCCCTAGTCACTATCACTGTCCTGGTCAGATGGTTGTTAATATGTCTCTACTGCTATTTTCATATTATTAAAAGCATAGAATTACTACCCACAAAGATTCTGTGAAACCGTTTGGTTTATTTAAGATTTTCACTTTATTTTATTCTATATTTTCTTTTACAGATAGTACTATTCAGCATGACCTGTTCTCTCCTTCCAATATATTTTGTACCCTGGAATTACTGTATCCCATTAATTACTCCCATTCCACCATGTTTCAGTGATGCCTATTATATTAATATCCTCATTCAATACAAGACAGTCTAGTTCACCCATATTATTAAGACTTGCAGCATTTGTGTATAAGAACTTTAAAACAAACTGAGAACAGCAAGAACAATCTCAGGGTGATAGTAAAGCTGATTTATGCTATTTTTGGTGTATAACTGATTTTTTAAAAATTACGTAAAGCCCCAATCTCCAGGACACAATGACACAGCCTACAAATTCTGTAATACAGAACTCAGTTTGTACTGCACAATCTATAGGAGATTGCCTTTAAAACAACAACAACAAAAAGACTGTCCCATCTTATTTGTATTCCAGAATTTTCTGACCCAGATCTTTAATTTAAAAAAATTATCATGGTTTCCCACATTCCTACATCTAAAGTAAAAGAAGGAAGAACAGTAGAACAAAATTTTAAGTCAACTTCACAAAATCAAAGTTACTTAATTTGGATTTCCATTCGTCAGAGTTCTCTTGTTCAAATCTCCTCATAGTTTGATCATTCTCTATATATCCTTCAGGAACCATAGGTGCCTTAAACATGCAACGCAACTTGCTGAACACCATCACTCATTAAGTTCAATATGTTTTACTAACAAGATCATATTAAGCTATTTCTGGCATGCCATCCATCTTACCACATCAGATACTAGAGCCTTTATAGAACCTGAGACAACAGCAATCCATTTTTAGAAGACCCTGTATACTGAAAAAATATGCAAATATAATTACTTAGGTGGTATCTTATGCTAGGCTATTTTTATAATACTTAGAATAAAATAATCAAACCTATCTAGGACATTGGCCAAATGAGCATCAAATTATCACCCTAATTCACATCCTGCCATCACACATTGTCCAGTAGGCCATATTTAAAAACTCAGAAGTCTTAATTCATATGAATTTAAACTCTGGTCATTTCATTTAGACACACTAGATCTTGTGGGAAAGTCCATTATATTTAGCCATTATCAAAATAAATACTTAATTGCCATTCATTTTTCTGAGTGATTCAACTGTGCAAATACAGGCAATAAAAAGATCAGATTACAAAATGCAGGTTTTATTAATAAAAGCTATTAGAGATGGTTCGCATGCAAGCGGAAATGTTCACAACTTAGGTGAGGTCTTGATTGCTTTCCAAATTAAAACCTATTTGCACAGAATGGGAACTATTACACAGATTAAATAACTTGACTGAAATCAGTCTTTGGCAGAGCCAGAAACAGCATGAAGATGGATCTGACTGCTAGTCTGATGCCTTACCCACAGAAGTATTCCCTGTTCACCACTGGAAAGGATTGTCAAAGAAATCAAATAAAGTGGTTTAACTTGAAGAGCCACGAATTCTCTGCATTTGCAATTATGCAAACCAAAACAATATAAAAGTATTCAAACCTCATTCACAGCTTAACATGATCATCTGTACGGATGAGACACTCACGCACCCCTTTTATATGCAGGGTAAGGATGTTAAATTGCGGTTAATTTACTAGTCGAATAGTCAATGGAATTTCCATCAACTACTCGACTAGTAGATAGGCACTTCCGCATTCCTCCTTTGAAATGTACAAGAGCCCCCGCTGGGGGGGAAGTCTCACTAATTCCAGGCTGAAAATCAAAGCAGGGGCTCTTGTGCATTTCAAAGTGGAAACCCACTCATGGAGCCTAGGGCCAGAGGGGGGACACAGAGGGGGCCCCCCGCTGACCCTGGGATCCACGTTGTGCTACAGATTTGAAATGCCGTGCAAAACCTGCGGTCAGTGGGAGATTCACCAACTGACCACAGGTTCTGCACAGCATTTCCCCACCGAAGCGGTGTTCAAAGCGGCAGCACCTCACAGCTGAACCGTGGATCATCTGTGTGTTGCTACGGATTCCCTCTCCCCTCCTTCCCCTTTGCTGCCTCTATCTGATAGAGGCGGGGGGGGGGGAAATCGACTAGTCGACTGACTATTGGATAAGCATTTGGATAAGCATTTCAGATAGTCGACTAATCTTTAGCATCCTTAATGCAGGGTAGGCACAAGAAGATAGGAACTTCATAAGATCCCCTCTGAAATATCACAAAGGCAACTGCTAATTAAAGAACCACTGTGTGGAAATGTCTCTTTCAATATATCCATTAAGTTTTCCTCGATGGAACACATTAAAAACAGTTAAATATTTAGGCAGTTCATACAAACTGGACATCCTGACACAAACACATTGACAGAAAATTTTACATTAAGGCTGTAACTTACATGAGGGCAGATTAGACAGAAGGGAAAAAACTTCCTCACAGTATCAATTTGACAACAGAACCAAGGCTGAGGGCAGCCACTGAAACAGCAAGAACAATGTTTTAAAGACATTAAGTAAGTTATATAAGGAATTTCTGCATTAGACATAGGACTTCACATCAAATGTCTTCTCCCTTCCAGATCTAGTTTTTTAAAATGAATACATGTGCATATGAAATAGATACCATTCCCTCAAATTTCTCTCTGCACTATGCCAATTCATTAGTCTCAATCGCTATTACCCCTTCTATTCCATTTAACATTCCTCCAAAAAGGAAGATAGATTGTTATTTTATGCTGTGGCCAACAGCCACAGGAACCTATGATGAAACCACACTAGTTTTCCCCAACAAACTAAACCAAAATTTGCCAACTACACCCATAAATAAGAAAGAAATGTATTAACTCATAGTGCCATCTATAAGCCATGTGCTACATGTTCTTAGTTCTTGAACAGCAGAGAATACATCCAACCATTAATTATATTTTTCGTTGCTGTTTATTTCAGGAAAAGTTGCCATTCATTTTGGATATGTTGTACATAAGATACTATTTTACCAAGGCTCCAAGAAGTAGGTGAAGGTGAATTAGAGTGAAATCGAGACATCTATTTAGCATAGGCTATTTCAGTAATGAAGGTTTATAATTTATGATTTGTTATGCTTAGCATACATGTGCTCAGAATTCTGGATACAAGACCCTTTAAAAAAATAAATGAGCATTTTAAGTATGAAACATTTAAGAAAAAAATCTTACATAAAATATGAAGGTCTACTAGCAATTAGACAACTAAAGAAACAAGTACAGAATGCATATTTTACAATTACAGACCATAAAACTGAAAGAGAAAAAACGAAAGAACGAACGAAAGAACAAGGAATCCATCTAAATGTTTTACAAATGTCTGAGTGTCTGTTTGCTCAAGAATTCCTCAATGGTAAGAGAATCACCAAATTTGGTATGCCACTTCCTGTTATCCTAATTTAAAGCAAGGTCAGAGTTTGGTTGTGCCCCCCAAAAAATATTAGTGCTGGCAATGGGACTGTCTTCCATGACATGGAAAGGGAGGAGGCAGAGAGAAGAAACATGAAAGGGAGGAACACAGAGAGGAGGAACAAGATACTGAGAGCGGCCACTGTGGGAAACAAGCACAGGAGAGAGATAACCTGCAGAGAGACCACTGCGGGCAGCTGCAGTATGGCCAGTTGGCGCTGGGCTCACCATCTTCCCTGCCACCAAAACAGATAAGTAGCTCCCCAGCCCCAAACTCTTTTCCCTGATGGGGGGAGGGGAAGCAGGAGAGTGCTCCTGGTGGGTGGAGGGGAAGCAAAAGGTCCTTGGTGGCTGGGGAAAGGGCAGAAGGCCCTTTGTGGCTGGGGAAAGGAAGAGAAAGCCCCACAGCATGGAACCCCTCCACTCTGAATCCCTCCTCATCCCCCGACCCTCACTCTTACACCCCCACACTTCTAGCCTTTTGCCCTCACCCCCCACACACACCTCCAAGGCCCTGCCCTGAAAGACACAGGCAATGCCAGGTAAGTCTTCTAGTATGTAATCAAAACCTGAGTACAAAATCTGATTTGATTTCTTTGCATCGTGCCTGCACTAACAAGACACGTTCTTACTTCCTGACAAAGGAGGCTTTTCAGGGCAAAAAAAAAAATCATATTGGGAGGAAACTCCCCTGCAGTTTCATCTTGCTTCCAGTCTATTTACAATCACTGTTAACTGGTTGACTAAGCAACACATACCTTTACTGTAAGTCGCTGTTTTTTCCTCTTCTCTATTCCTCTGGACTTTTGGCAACTTTCCCTCCCCCTCCCCCAAATCTTCCCTTCCTGCATTTCAACCTTTCAATTTTTCTGCCACCACTGCCTGCTTCCTGTTCAAAAAGATTCAGATTTTCAACACCAAGGCAGCACAAGCTCCTGCCACCTCCCCTGCCCATGTCCCTCCAACTTCACTGCCTCCCTCGTCCTACCTCCTTCCAAACTCCTCCCCCATGTGCATTTCCCCTACCACAACATACTCCAGGCAGTAGTTTTGATCTGTGAAAGTACAACTAAGGCTGCAATGGCAGAGAGAAGAAAGGGGAAATGGAAAATAAAATATAGCACTTTAAAGGACACATTTCCCAGCACACTGCTAGATTAGTCAGTGAAATCCTGGCTGTCTTTATTCTAATCCAAACCTTCCTCTACTCCCAGCAATGTATATGGGGTAAATATATATAGCCCTTACATTTCCTAGTTCATTCTTGTATCATGATTCCTTAGATAAACTCAATAGGACATTTTCCTCTTTCCTTCTCACCCCCTCTCAACATTTCATTGGCTCAACATTTCATTAATGATGTTTTAATGAGGTCTTACTAAGCCCTTCCCTATATCTAGCGGAGAGCACCACAAGAAGTATTTATTTCTATTATGTATTTTACTTTCTCCACTGGCCTTCTGCTCACATACTTGAAATCATTTTGGAGCTGGAACACCTGAATTTTTGTAAGAGCAATCGTTTAAGTTTTCAGAACAAGATAATCCTGCCCTGGGATTTCTTCAAGAATACAAATTTTGCTTGAATAGTTGGAGGCTTTGAAGTTGAAATCATGGCAAATCAGTTTCAAAGTTCCCTCTGTTTCATAATAAACCAGAACATCAGGAATCATATGTAACTCAACAAATGTGATGATAGCAATACAAGTTAAAATACAGAGAAAAATCTGTCAATGACTTTAAGCTGATCAACCACAATTAAGAGACTTCTTAATCTTCGATTCTGTAATCCATATTTAATACCAAAACAGTACAGGCCACGTTTGAAGACAATACTTTATAATGAATGAAATATTTGAAGTCCAAAAGTAAAGCCCTGTAAGAGTGAAACTCCCAAACCTTTTTGTCAACTCTATTTTAACAAGACAAATTACTCTCCATCAAGATCTCTTCTGGACCAAAGGTGAAAGCTCCCTAGGTCACCTCTAAAGAGGACTGACATTTTTGTGTGGGTGCTATTTTATTGTGAAGCTGCAAGCTAGCCACTTCGATCGACACAATCCACTACCTTTAAACATCACTAAATCCAAACAAACAAACCATGTAGCAGGCAATCTGCACCCACGTACAATAAGACAAACGTGTCACAGCAGAATATATTTTGTGATTATGCCGCAGTGGAATCTCCTTGCAGGAGTCACTGGGATGAAGTCCTGGTGCTACCCTAGAGCATCAGTGCGTTCACACGGGTCAGAGAGCCAGGACGTGAAGCCCTTTCACTTATGATGCTTCTTGCCGTCGGGAAAGACCTGAGTACCCGATATATTTTAGGAGCCCAACTCATCCCAGTAGGGAAACACCACGACACCCCCGCCCAGCCCAGATCTCTCTGGGGCTGCCTCG